AATGGCTTAAACCTGCATTATTTAGATTACTATGCAAGAATATCTCCTTCGGCATTTCAGAAAAGATACCCAAGAGTTTACCACACAGCAGGGGCAACTGCAAACCGGCTTGTGTGTGTGTGTGTGCGAGAGCTGTGCCGGCAGCCTGGCGCCCCCTTCTGCCATGGCACCCTGTGCGGCCGCACAGCTCACACACCTCTGAGGTCGGCCCTGCCTCCATAGACATCACTGTTGTACTTTAGCACATAGACGAGATTATAGCACTGACATTGGCTCCTGGCTGTTGAAATGTCAGAAACTGAAAAGGATTCCATGGTGGGATCCACCCAAGAGGTGGAATGTTATGAGGGACAGATTCATGCATCCAGGGCCTGATTAACATAGGGGCTGATGGAGCTGCAGCTCCAGGCCCAGGCCCATGGAATAGGCCCGTTGATTTTTTTTATTTTTTTTTTACACACACTACTATTAGGGTTGCCAGGTATTTCTCATGTATTTCTTATGGTTGCCAGGTATTTCTCAGAAGTATTTCTCAGGTATTTGAGGCTGCCTAGCCGGTGCCGATATTGCAGTAATACCGGCAATACAAATGTCTGTCTCAGTATAAATAGAGATTATTCTGCAATACCAGCGCTGGCCAGTAGGGGTCGCTGTTTGTATGGAGAGAGGCAGGGATGAGAAGTTACAGCATCTCCCTCCCTGCTTCTCTCTATTCACTGATCCGCGGGGAGCAGCTCTGCACAGCTTTGTACCTTCTCCAGACAGCAGCTCCAAGCCTGTGAGACATGGGTACGGTGAGAGACTTGGGGACGCTGAGACATTGGAACACTGGGAGACATGGGGACCTAGGGACACAGTGGCCCCTAGTCTCCCAGTGTCCCCATGACTCACAGTGCCCCCAAGTGTCTCAGTGTCCCCTAGTATAGAAGAAAAAAAATCTCAGGCACTCACTGTGATAGATTTAAGTAGGTTTATTGAACACTGCAATGTTTTGACCTGTAACCAGGTCTTTGTCAAGTCTCCAGTGTCCCCTATATATCACAGTGTCCCCTATGTATCACACTGTCTCAGTGCCCCATGTCTCCCATGTCCCCTCGTGTCCCAAAGTCAACCAGTGTCGCCATTTCTCCATGTCTCCCAGTGTCCCCAAGAGACTGTGTCCCCAGGTCTCTCAGTGTTCCCTAGTATCTCAGTGTTCCCATGTCTCCCAATGTCTCTCAATGTCCCCTAGTGTCCTAGTAACATGGGGACACTGGGAGACATGGGGACACAGACACTAAGGGACTGGGAGACATGGGGACACAGACATGCCCCCTTTTTGTGTATTTTCGCCCCTTTCAGCAGATTTGCTTCAGGGGCCACCCTTTTACCCCATCCATAGACTTCCTGCTTTACTGGACACTGCTGTTAGGGGGTATAGGTTTACTTGAAGATGAAAGCGTGAGATTAGCATAGGGTATGTGTTTTCTCATAGCTGCATCCTATGAGTTTCCCTTCAGCACCAGCTACATCAGATACATTACGCTTAGGAGGTAGGACTGTTTTCGTGTTTTTGGTAAATAAGATTTTGTAATTAGGCCCATCATAATTGTCAGCACCAGGCCCACTGGGCTCTTAATCTGGCCCTGCCTGCACCAAAGTTTGGGATCCTTGCAACATATGCAAAGACCACAGAAGAGGACAAAGCTGCTATAAGTTGTAAAAAAACTTCACTAACTTAAACATAAATATATTTATTTTTATGCATATAGTAGATTTTTCTTTTAAGTATTTTGGTTTTCACCCTGGCAGACCTGGTTCAATTATTGGTATGGGAATAAAATAATTTATTTTAAAAAGCTAAAAATATAAAGACAGAATAACCCTTCCAGAACATTATCAACACACTTCATTGCTTATTGAGGGTGATAAAAACATATACATGTTTCTATACATCATAATGAAAGACAATCTTTTCATTGTGTTTTAACGTCTTCCAGCAACCTGTAGGCAATCCAAAAACAATATAAGTTTTCTTATTTTTAAAATTCTGACTGTGTCACTGGCCTGTCTTCTTTACCCCTCTCCCACTGGCATCCAGAGGATCAGAGTTGGGAGGTATGTGACAGTCATTTCCACAAATACTGCTGTAAATACCTGCAAATGTACAAGGCAGTGGTTCTCAGTTGTTACAGAGTTAACCATAATGTAAAAAGCAAAGTGAGGAAATCCTTATCAAGGAAATTCCTCTAGGGTACTGATGTATGAGAGGCTGATGTAAAGCAATAGTTAAAACATAACAAGGAAAGTATCTATCATGTATATCAAGGCACATAATTTCATTAAAGTGGATAAACTAATAGGCTTTATTATAATTGCCAAAAATGTATTAGCCATAAATTATCCCAACTATATAAATAAGAAGTACAAGCTGATATAGCAGAAGCAGATAGAAAAACTCTGAATTCCAAAAGAGTGGATACAAAAAGGTCTACAGAGATGAATGCCTTAACACAAGCATAATTGGAAATTAATCTAAGGACTAGGAAATATTACCTTCACTTGTGACCGCAATCAAGCTATACTAAATAATGATCTAATGTGAATAAATCATGCAACAGTGATACTTTATTGTATAAGTGAATTGATATTGATGAAATTGTACCTGTTTAACCTAACGGACTAGGAGATACACAATACATCTTGAAAGAGCTCTGAAAAATATAAGATTTTACTGAGAGGATTTATTCAGACAGTGTTTCAACATTATAAGATAGGAGAGTTGCATCTGAGAGATGAAATGTATACAATCATCAGGAAACTATGTTCCTGTTTGTTTCGTCTGATATGCAATATTGTTCTCTGACCATCAGGATGCTAAACAATCAGAAGAGAGGGAGGTCCCAGGTGTACGTCTGGAAAATGACGACATCAGGGAAGCCTGATAGCTGGATGTGGCTGGATGTAGCTTCAAGACTCCAATAAGGTACGATTGGCTAATAAGGAAAATGAAGGCGGACTCTAAAGTCTTTTTAAAGCCAGAGACTGCCATTCTCAAATTTCCTCCCCTGACGAAGGTGCCACTATAGCACCGAAACGCGCGTCAGGAGTTTTTCCTTCACATAGCACTATGCACTGATTGACCACGTTTTGTTTCTCTTTGATTTTTATTTACTCCATAATGAGGAAGAGCTATATGGGGGTGTGGGGACTTGCTAATACAGCGACAGGAGCCTGGAGCCTTTTCCATTCACAGCAAAAGGGAGAACTAGTCTCTCTAATAATCTGTTGAGGGGCTCAGAGAATCTCTAGCAGAGATTCTACGGGGAATTTAGCCTAATTGAAATCCATGAAGATGTCTTAGGGAATATATAGCCTTCTTAGCTGATACTAGATAGCACTATAGTAGTGATCCAGTATACCCTAGAATTAAACATTATTAGAGACTCTGGGCTCATTTGTAGAAGGTGTTTGATGCTACCAACCATGTTTGAGCATATTACTTATAAGCAATGTTTGATGGATGTTTTTTTCACTCTATGATGTACTAGTATCTTGACATTTATGATCTAATACTTAGGTCTCTACCTCGACCACCCCATAAAGACTCTTGTATTAAAATATTATCCAAAACAAGAAAAATCAGACCCTATGTTCACAATACATTCAAAGGGAAAATACAATTAATCTGTGCACCCATAGTGTCATCAGCACATCAAACTCATGAAATACATAGATCATTCAATGGCTATATCAGAGGAAGTATATACTTCTAAGGTCATAGAGAATTACTGCAGTAACTCCACCCCATAGAAAAAATATATAAATAAAGATATCTTGGTGGTTAGTCCATAACTGTACATGGATATCTATATTCCACATTAATGATGCAAAAAATGAAAAAAACTGTATACAGTGAAAAAGAAAAGGAAAAAGGAAAAAAATGGAAAAATATCAAAAAAAGAAAAAGAAAAAACTGGTTCAGTCTCACTACTCTGTTGGGCAAATCAGTCCTGATCAGAGGAATAGATATATGTGGGATGGGTGTTGCAGAATCAATAGAGTGTACTCCTTTAGAATCTCCAGAGTCCGGCACCAGTCTCAGGCTCACTCGGATATACAAATGATTTGGAAGGCTGAGGACAAATTGGCTGTAGTCAGGCTAGTCGGGCTGCGCGCTCGGGACCACATTGTCCCTTCAATGGCTCTAGTAGAATAACCACACATAAGCATGTTTAAATACAGACGAGGAGCATCTAATGAATACCTCCTCGAATTGCTCACTGTATCCACGTTGGGCTTCCGGGACGCGTTGCGTGATCACGTGCATTGCGTCCCGACGTCCCACGTGCAGGGGCGTTTTAGCCGCGAGGCAAACAAGGCATTTGCCTTGGGCGGCATTTTTCAGGGGGCGGCAAAAAACGCCGCCCCCCAAATGCCCAGGGCAAATGCCTTGTTAGCCTGGCGGCTAATAGACATGCCGGGCTGTGCGGGTGGCGCTGGGCGGGCGGCTGGCGAGGGAGTTCTTCCTCTGAGCGGTCCGCTCAGCTCCCTCGCGCGCCGCAAAGTGAGGCTGGGAGCCGGAAGATGACGTCATCTCAGAGGAAGAACTCCCTCGCCAGCCGCCCGCCCAGCGCCGCCCGCACAGCAGCCACTGGACCACCAGGGAGGTAATGAACCCCTTCCCCCCCAGCACTCCCAGAGGTAAGGAGGTGGGGGGGGGGAGTGAATAAAAAAAAAAAGTGTTAATGTGAGTGAGTGAGTGTGTGTCTGTTAATGTGTGTGTGTTTTGTTAGTGTGTGTGTGTGTCTGACTGTGTGAGTGTGTGTCTGCTAGTGAGTGAGTGTGTGTCTGTTAGTGTGTGTCTGACTGTCAGTGAGTGTGTGTTTGCCTGTGAGTGTGTGTGTGTGTGTGTGTGTGTCTGTTAGTGTGTGTCTGTTAATTTGTGTGTGTGAGTTTGTGTGTGTGTATGTGTGTGTCTGACTGTGTGTGTGTCAGTGAGTGTCATTTAATGTGTGTTTGTTAGTGTGTGAGAGTTTGTGTGTGTGTCTGCTAGTGAGTGTGTGTCTGTTAGTGTGTGTGTCTGACTGTTTGTCTGTTAGTGTGTGTGTGTGACTGTGTGTCAGTGAGTGTGTGTGTGTCTGACTGTGTGTGTGTGTCAGTGAGTGTGTGTGTTTCTGTTAGCGAGTGTATGCGGATCTGTCAGTGAATGTGAGTGTGTGTGCTAGTGAGTGTGTGCTAGTGAGTGTGTATGTGTGTGTCTGACTGTGTGTCAGTGAGTGTGTGTCTGACTGTGTGTGTGTGTCTGTTAGTGTGAGTTTGTGTGTCAGTGAGTGTGTGTCTGTTAGTGTGTGTGTGTTTCTGTTAGCGAGTGTATGCGGATCTGTCAGTGAATATGTGTGTGTGTGTATTTAGAAGGCGGGGCGGGGGGAAGGGGTTGGGGACTGGCGCTGTATCTGAGTTTTGTCCTGCCTAGGGCAGCACAAAACCAGGATACACCACTGCCCACGTGAGTACAGGTGGAAAAGAAGAAAAAAAGAATACCTTATTCTACAAATAACTAACACTTGTTGCTAAATCCTATGTTAAAAACTGTTGACGTTACAGTGTCAAATCAAATCAGGATATCAATAATAGCAAATAAATTGAGCTGAGTTATCTACTCCATATCTAACAGACATTTTTTTTTTTTATAAATGTACATACCCCTGGGTATGATTAGATTCCTTTGTAAAATCGAATCGGGGGAACATCAATGATATTAGATATTGGGAATTATCCCTAAGTATATCATCCCTAAGTATATCATGAGGGTACCCAAACCCAGTAAGGTACTTCAAAAAGTTAAAGAGAAATTAAAGAAAAATACTCCTCTACATAATTGGTAGAACTTTATTTATACTATGGTTATTGCACAACCAATTCAAAAAACGATTGTCACTACGTAGGTATAAAAAAGTTTATAGATAAGAATGCCTCCACTTACCATATGGGCAGTATACGTGTGTATTTAAAGTAGGGAACCCAGGAATTCAGGTAGCGGACCACAGTGGTCATAAGTATGTCATGTAAAAGATTCGGACCAAACCTGGTCTAGTCGAGGAACTGTAGAGAACACATCATAAGGAATTTGTTTAATTAAGCAGAACCATACAGAACAGAAATAAGGGGTCCGCTCTAATGCTTCTCTTGTGTTCCCCTATAGGTTCTTTTACAGGTTGTATAGTCTCCCCTATGTAGATGTAGCCACACAGGCATTTTAGGATGTACACTACATAATCAGAATTGCAAGTGTAATAACCCCCAACTCTGTATTGCTTACCTGAGTGAGGGTGCGAAAAATGTTCCCCCTTTACAGTGGGAGCAACCTAGGCATGGGAATGTGCCTTTCGTAGGAGTTGAAAAGAATCTGGTCTTATCTTTCTTATTCCTACCAATGTCAGATCTCACCACTAGATCCCTAATATTCCGTGCTCTTTTATACGAGAACATTGGAGGACTTTGGAATTGAATAGTTAAGTTCGCGTCCCCTTCAAAAACTCGCCAATGATTTAAAATAATCTTTCGAATTTCCTTATTTAAAGGGGTATATGGGACCACAAATAGAATTCTACTTAGATTATAACGCTGTCTATTGGGGTACAATGTCTCTTCCCTTGATAAGTTTTGTACCTTCTCCCTCTGTCTAAATATTACCTCTATGGGATATCTCCTTCCTCTGAATTTATTAGCCATATAGTCTAGACCTGGCTGTATCTTTTCTTCTTGTGAGATTATACGTTTTACTCTCAATAGCTGACTGTAGGGTAATCCATCCTTCATGTGTGTTAGATGAAAGCTACTATAGTTCAAAAGGTTATTTTTGTCAGTGGGCTTTGTGTATAGATCACTGTGTAGCTTGTTTCCTACCCATGGACTTGTACATCTAAAAATGGAACCGTGTATTTGTCACAGACCATTGTGAATTTAATATTGGGGTCCAGACAGTTTACTTGTTCAAAAAACTCCTGTAGTTGGGCTCTTGTGCCACTCCAACACATGAACATATCTTCTATGTATTGTTTCCAGTTTATACATTTCTCAAAAAGGGAAGCATATAAATTAATGTCTCCTCCATGCGATTCATATATATGTTTGCATATGTTGGAACGACATTCGAGACCATAGCAGTCCCTTTAATATGTCTGTAGAACTTATCCCCAAACAAGAAAACATTATCTGTCAGGATGAATGAGTAGTTGTACAATGTAATTCCTGGTGTCACTATACTGTGTGGTGGATGTGTCTATCTAAGGTCAAATTTACAGCTTCCAGATCCTTAGACTCTTAAACCAAGCAACTGCTTAGTTGATCTCTCCCCATTGCCTATACAATTAACAAGGTCCATGCCTGTGAAAGTTAAGGCATATTATTTGCCACAATGTATCTATTTAGAGATTTATTTCTTTAGACCTTTTTGTATCCACTCTTTTGGAATTGAGAGTTTTCCTATCTGCCTATGCTATATCAGCTTGCACTTCTTATTTATATAGTTGGGATAATTTGTGGCCAATAAATGTTTGGCAACTATAATAAAGCCTATTAGTTTATCCACTTCAATGATATTCTGTGCCTTGATATACATGATAGATACTTTCCTTGTTATGTTTTAACACATTTCCTTGATAAGGATTTCCTCACTTTGCTTTTTATATTAATGTTTCCAGGGTTCATTCCCAGAGTGGTAGGGTGCCACTCGTACTGACCACCGCTGTTGTGATATCCTCACCCAGGGGGTACTAGACTGTTTTCTTTATTGCTTAATCATAATATGTCCCAGTGACATCTTCTATTTCTGATCCTGATTACTTTTCTGTTTCCTTGATTTCCTGATCTTTGTCTTTTTTGATTGACCTTGCTACAGATTTTTAAACACTGTCTGAATGTTGTTTTTTAAAAGAATATTCAAGGATATAACAGTTAATGTGTTGGGTAACAGTTTGTTTATCCCATGATAAATCTGACTACCAGTTCAGTCATAAAGGAATTTTATTACCAGTTTGGCAAATATATAAATCATCTCCAATTGCGTTTTTCACTTCTTTGGGATAAAAAGCATTTATACAAATTGACAAAAAGCTGAACTTGATAGAGAAGTCAGGGGTAGACAACTTTTGGCACACCAGATGTTGTGTACTACATTTCATATAATGCTCTTACAGCCATAATGCTGGCAAAGGATTAGGGGAGATGTAGTACACCACACCTAGAGTGTCGAAGGTTGCCTATACCTGGTCTATGTTATTATATAATGATGTAACTTCTTGCTGCCTGCTTTGACATACACAACTTTACTCTCAGACTCACAATATACATGTGTTACTTCAGATAGCCTATATATCATTATTTTTATCTAACTCAGTTATTATATATACGGTATCTCACAAAAGTGAGTACACCCCCAATTGGAAATGTCCAAATTGGGCCGAAAGTGTTAATATTTTGTGTGGCCACCATTATTTTCCAGCATTGCCTTAACCCTCATGGACATGGAGTTAGCCAGAGCTTCACAGTTTGCCACTGTAGTCCCCTTCTGTTACGGTACCCTCAGCATCAGATGCACAAACCGCCGTTTAGTAAATCCTCCCCTCTCGCAATAACATAGGCTGCATGCGTATCAAGTACAATCATACGAACCGCAAGCAGGGGAACGCTGTAAACTCACGAACGGGATCCGTACGGGCACTTCACTTCACGAGCTCCAAACTCACGAATCGCCAATAGTAGCCGAACGCATATATCTCCCAAGCGGCTAATAATCCCATCCGGCAGTCTCTAGTCGTCGGTAATAAATCCCCCCAATAATGAGACCAAGCTCCGCATTGAGGGTAAACACATGAACTGGCTTTACTGTGGGCTACCTGCCCGTATTTATGCAGGTCTCCCACTTGGTGGACACTCCCCTACGGGACCAAATGGGAGACTGTAACAATAGACAGACATATGGCAGGTTAGGACCCACAGACACAGAATATTCCCAGCATGCATTAGTATTTCCTCCCCTCTGCCCTGGAGATAATTGAGAAGTAATTCAATTATCTTCAGGACAGAGGCAAATCACCATTTTAAATTCAACACAGAAAAACATATAAAAATATATAACTTTACATTTGTCGAATGTTACCCATTCGTATCACGTATCCCCAGATAGTGCATATTATTGGTGAATAGCGCTCAGATCCCATATGCATAGTTCAATCGCCATGGAGTCAAAGTCTATTACAGTCTTTCGGTATGCGATTGACTCCATGGGAAGGCTATCTGGGGTAAGTCCATTCGTACGTATAAAACTCCCAAACGGCCAGTGTTTGTATACTTCTGTCGATTGAGAAGGGAGGTAGGCAGCTTCAGCGGTGTTCGGCAGAAAAAGTGTCCGTTTTCAGTTCCATGAAATCCATGCCGAACACCGCTGGTCTTTCGCATGGTTTAAAATCGCGCCGCCTCGTGGTCGACATACGAACGACGACCACCCTGTATTTGGTTTTAATTGAGAAGTGTCTGCGGGTAACCACAACGTTCTAATTGGGATCAAGAGGTTAACCAGCAGCACACTTCTCTTCTAGGTGGCCGTCCGTTCGGTAGTTTTGTTCGGCAGAAAAGTCAATTCATTGAACAGGGGCATACGAACGGGTAATTCCACGAAAAGGCAAAACAGACGAACCAGCAATACCAGTCTATACAGATGGATCTGTCACACCTTCCACTCCTCCATCATGGAGCTGGTGGATGTTAGAGACCTTGCGCTCCCCCACCTTCCATTTAAGGATGCCCCACAGATGCTCAATTGGGATTATGTCTGGAGACATGCTTGGCCAGTCCATTACCTTTACATTCAGCTTCTTTAGCAAGGCAGTGGTCGTCTTGGAGGTGTTTTTGGGGTCGTTAGCATGTTGGAATACTGCCCTCAGAGTTCTTTGCCATGAAGTGCCATGTTGAACTTCCAGTGACCAGTATGAGAGAGTGTGAGAGCGATAACACCAAATTTAACACACCTGCTCCCAATTCACACCTGAAACCTTATAACACTAACGAGTCACATGACACCGCGGAGGGAATATGGCTAATTGGGCCCAATTTGGACATTTCCACTTAGGGGTGTACTCACTTTTGTTGACAGTTACAGTGACAGTGTGGGGGGTAAGGAGAGAAGAAGATATAGTGTGGGGGGGCAGGGAGAGGAGGGGTTACATTGTGGGGGGGCAAGATCTGGGGACTGTGTCCTACCTTTATTAAATTCCCTAGTGGACAGTGTCTCTCCCTGGTGGTCCGGTGGGTTGACTCTCC